ACTTCTATCAGCAAACAAAGATGAAAATAAGGACTGTTACAAATTAACTCTGGTCATGAAGATATAAAAATGGGTTTTCTATACAGTACCAGAAAAAACAGTTTTTATTTTTTCCAAGATTTGACCTGATTTGAGGCAAACTACATTTACAGAGGACACTTTCCTGTTTTTTTGTTTGTTTGTTTTTGTTGTTGTTGGTTCACTTAAATCTATAAAATGTACATTTTATTATGCTGAATACACCATTTCCTAAATCATTAATACTTAAGGTTCATTACTTTCTTTTTCTGTATCTAACCAAAAATTTCCCAATGAAGCATTCTAATTTGTTCAATTTTTTCAACACACCAATTTACAAGAAGAAAATTTATTTTCTGGAAGACTGAATGTATCTTTAGATATCAGGAGATGGAAAGTATCTCTTGGTAAGAGATACTGCTGAAATGTAATTAAATGCCTTGAAATTCACCAACACTTCCAAGTAAGCTTAAATTCAAAGCAAAGTGAATCCTTCAAACTGCACTTCTATGTATTTGATTTCTAATGGGGTAATAAGAATAAATTCTCCCCGAATGCGTAGGGAAGAAAGGAAAACAGCAAAAAAGGCAAGAGTGATGATAACAGCGGGGGAAGCGGCTGGAGGAGGCAGGCGGCACACATTTCAGGGGAAGTAACGTCCTTCAGCACAGCGATCAGCTGGCAGCCCATTATGTAGGAAAGATGAAAAATACTTAAGACCTGGAACGCAGACTGGGTAGTTTGCAGACAGATTTTTTTGTCAGATGGCCAGGGGACATTAAGTGAGAAATGGTAAGGTGACAAAAAGACCAGGTGGGAAAAGTGTAGGATGATGTGGTGAAATGGGTGGAAACTGTGGCCTCTGTGAGCGGCAAATAGCCAGGGGAGGGGTGATAGAAAGTCAGAGAGGACGTAAAGAAAAGGCTGTTCCTCCATATAAGGGCCAGTAAAAAGGCACGATGGTAATTAAGAAATGTACTTAGGGAAAGATGAGCTATTATTCCTTAAAACAGAAATCAGTCAGAATAATGGCTAAACTACTTCCTTGAGTTTCCACATTAAGAGTCAAAGCAAATCAACTTATTTCACAAGGAAACAATGGAAAGTTGATGACAACGGTGGACACATCATACAATAGACTCTCCTTAAGAGTCTAACCCAGCACAGAAGTCTGTGCCCTGGCAGGTTCTCAGTAGGCGTTCCAGAACAACTCCCAGCCTCATGCAACAGACGGTTCTATCTGCTGTAGTCCTGAGCTATCATATGTGAAACAAACCTATTAATTAGCTCAAATAATAAGGTTGAAAGCCATATTGTGGCCTCACTATCCCCAATGTCTTAATGATCAAATTTTATTTTCAATTCAGCCATTTAACTGATCTTTTTGGCTACAGGCCATTAATATGGACTCCAAATTTGAACATCTTAAAAAATTCACAGACACAATTTCTCTAACGTTTGAGGTTCCTTTGTTGAGGATTATAATTTTATCGACTAATTATACGTCTGCCATGGTTTAATCACCTATAATGTAAAAATAAATGCTATATTTCTTTATATGCACATTAAGAAGACCATTTTTCTAATTAATTGGAATAAACATATACGTTAGTAGAACATAAAATAATGCCTGCTTTCATCTAAGGAATCATACATATGACATTTGACATATCATACAACAGATCATCCTTAACTCTGTTAATTCATAATTAATATGTAGTAAAGTAGAACATATAATAGCCAGACTAATTGTATATATATCCCAAATATTTTTATCTTCTTTATTCAGTAACAAATTTGACTTGAAGATATTATTGTTCTTATTTTAGAAATGAGAAAACTAAAATGTAGTGTTTGGCAACTTGTCCCCAAGTTATACGACTAGTAGCAAGCGTTATTGAATTTATCATTTATATTTTCTGAATCACCTAAATAGCTAAATTTTATCTGGACAACTACCTACAGGTTAAATGTGCATCTGTGAAAAGCACTGATAAGGTTCTTTCTTTCCTTTTTCTGAGTATCTGCCTCGCCACTTCTGCACATCTTCATCTACAATATTTAGTTTTCTCTGTGCTATAAACATCTCTGGTCACAGCCTTCGATTCCTATATATACATAAAATACACACCCACCCACACACAGAGACACAGTTTATCACCCGAGTGATCAACAGGTGCTAAGGTCACAGGCATTCCAATGTGACCTTATTCAGAACACCAACCTATAAAGCATCATTTCATCATCTCATAAATGAAATCTATAGTGCTCAGTTCTTTGTCTTCTTTTCTATTTAAAGAACATGTAAGAATTGTTTCTGTAAGAACTTGCATTTTTCTCATATCTATAAGTCCTCTTTCTCTCCCAAATTATTTACTGCCATTTCTCAAAGAGTTCAGTCAATTAAGAAGGTGTTTTTTAGACCATTTCTACTTTGCTGTGAATGGCTATATTGAACTCCCAGTACAAAGCATGCAAAGATAAACACAGACTAACTTTGCTGTCATATAAAATCCATCAAGCAACCTTGTCTGATGAATTCAAAGGCAAGTGCATAATATTTCTTATTACCTGATCAAGAAATCACACAATTTCCCTTAGAAAAATAACAACAGCATTGCCTGGTAACTTCTTACCAGTTTGGAATTTGGGTAACATGCTGATGTATATTTCAGTAATTTTAAATGAACTTGTAGGGGTTATTTGTATATAAGCATTCGGAATTATAATGCAAAGGTTATAAAATGTTTAAAGGGTATTTAAGTTTCAAAATCCATTTTTAAAATTCAAACTTTTCCCAGGCAAAACTGTTTAAGTCCAAATTAAGATGAATATTTTTGCTTTTTAGAAAATTTTATATTGCCACAAAAATATTATTTCACCTAATAACTGCTGACTGGACATTAGTAGAATCGTTAGATCTGTTTATTAAAGAAAGGCTGATGAATTTGTTCAATATCCTTTAAAAAAAATGAATGAAATTCAGAGCTGGACTCTTAATCATTAACATTACCTAATGATTACTCTTTTCACTTTTTTTTTTTTCTAAGAAAACAAGTAAAAAGGGAATGAGAGGGAAATTAGCCACATGTATAGCATATGGTATGCTGATACTGATAAAGTAGAATAGCTATAAAAATATGTATATGTATACAAAAACACTTGTGAATTTTTTTTTTTTCTGCAATTTTTAGCCGGAGCTGGGTTTGAACCCGCCACCTCCGGCACATGGGGCCAGCGCCCTACCCCTTTGAGCCACAGGCTCAAGCCCTACCTGACTTGTGAATTTACATAGACTTTCCCAGGGCAGGAAAATGCTGTGATTGGGGAGGAAAATGAATCCACATTCCTTATAAACCTTTAACTTATTTAAAATATTTTGTTTATAGTACAGGACCAGACAGTATTTCTAAAATATGGAGACATTAAAGGGAAAAAATAATAAAAATAATCAAGATTACCTTTAGTTACGCAGATACCCATCAACACAAATAATTTGTGCCCTGACTTAAGGTAGGCTCAGATGAAAACATGACCCATGGGAAAGGACAGCCTCTGTTATTCAACAACTGAATAACAGATAAATTCATTAGTTGGCTGTGCTTCATTGTCTCAGGAGTAATAGAAACATGAAATGAACACAGTGAAGAGTAGAAACACACAGACATGGCTTTCTTAGTAACCCATCCTACTTAGAAAACCTTCACTGGTCCTCGGTAGTACATTGAGAAATTCAGAAGATCTTCACAAATATTTAAATAATTAAACCTGCAGTAGGCTAGGGACTTAGAACATGATACGAGAATGGCAAAAAAAGAGGCCATGTTTTCCTGAAGCATCATTCCCTTCACGAGGGCCTCTAATGAAAATCTCCTGCCCAAATATTCAAACAGAAGGAAGCTGTGAGGAAAAAAAAAAAAAAAATCTCCATCTGGCTAACACTTGGCCACCAAACAAATGCACCATGAACTGCCCATCATTTGTCTAATATCACTTCTAACTGATGTCTTCTCATGTTCATTTTTAACACAAAGACAATTTTACAAAGCAACCTATACAGAAAACCCATAAGGATTTACCAAAATGCGACCAGTAAGAAAAGTGGGTTTGAATTGTTCATAATCTAGGGTCCTTAGGCTTAATAATCTCACTTTGCAGTTTTGATACTATAAGTGTCAGACCAAGATACGTAAACATAGATGTTAATACGGACATTATCTACAGCACCCCACAAGGAGAGGCTAAAAAACCACCGGCTATAAAAGCCCACTACTCTTTATTTATTAGTAGATATTCTTGTTCTAATTCTGTGGATGACAGTTTGACCAGCGTGTCCTGTCATGGTAGTTAGCCCTCTCTCAGTCCTCACCTGTTTTTAGGAATATGGCAATCTGACCAG